GTTCATACTGCTCCTCTGCCTAGAAACCTGGGAACCAGCCATGATTTGTCCTCATTTCTCACCATTAACCGCTCTCAAAACTGACTGAGCATGGACTTCAGGGGCAAACAGTATGGGTTTGAATCTAGGTGTTTCCACTAGCATCAGTGATCTTGAACAAGTAACCTAACCCCTTGATCCTTAGCTTTTTCACTTGTAAAATGGAGTAAGGGTGTTGGCCTCAAAAGGTTATGAGGATCAGCACATTGGAAGTATACAGCCACTGTTCCTCTTAATTCAACCTCCAAAATGTCTCTGTGGTTTCATAAACTCCTCTCTATTTCCACATGCCCAGCCTGCATGGTGGCTGCCAGAGGTTGAACTACACTGCTCCTTTAAGCTGCCCTGGGGATGAAAGCTACTTGCATACTTGTCTTTCCCAGTAACAGGAAGCTACAGGAGAAGAAACTACTTGGCAAAATACATTGAAGCAATCTCACATGTGCAGCCCTAGCTTTTGTTGACTATCCCACTCTGTTTCCCACTGAATTTTACCTCTAGTCATGGGATTCTATTTCAGCCTTGAGTGATGTTCACTCACTCCCTGCATAAAAGGCTAATGTAATTTTTTATGATTCTGATAGGAGAAGGTGCCCCAGAGGGAGGCTGAGCTTCAGCCACTGCTCAAGTTCCCCTAAAAGGTGGCAACATTAGAGAATACTTAGGGGTAGCATTCAGGCATCAGCCAGAGGGCCCCTTGAGGCTTGAGGGAGGCTTTAAACCCTGATCATAGAACCTGTCCTCATATTTCCTTTGGATCACATATCATAATGGCAATTAATTTATAGCCTATGAATATTTACTTAATATGTCTGTCTTCTCCTCTAATTAGCTAGCTCTTTGAAGACAAGGGCTATGTCTGTTTCAGCCTAGAACAGAGTAGATGCTCTATTGATATTTGTTGAACCTGCCAAGTCTGGACAGAATCTTGTCCTTGTTCCCCTGAGCTATGCCATCAGAACACCACCACATTGCATTTTCCTAGCCTGTTTACTTCCCACTCCTCTCTGCTGCTTATGTGAGTTCCCGGAGTGTGGGTCTGCTAGACATAAGCGGCCTGTGTGGGTCTGCTAGACTTAAGCAGCCTGTTCAGCTACCATTGTGGTTACCTGCAGTTCTGCATTCCTATACAAAGGTCAGAACTGTCCAGTCACAGTCATATGGTCCAAACCTTACAATGTGCCTTTCATATCAATCAGGAGCAGGAAGCTTGATCACTCTGGGAAGGGTATGCATCAAGAGGTATGACCAGGAATTCCCCATGGGGCTGAGGATGGATGCATAAACTTACTCCCATCTCATGCATAATGAGGTATGACCGGGAATGCCCCGGGGGCCGAGGACCGATGTATGACAAGGGACCCCAGAAGCTGATCAGTGGAATGCCTTGTTAATAAGATTAGGACCATGTCTGATGGTCTGGGGTCTAGTTTCGATTACAACACTTGGTCATCAAGCTGATAACATGATCAGCAGACTCGTGTCCCCCAAGCCCTAAATAACACTCCTGAGTTTCACCCATCCTTTTGTCCTTGTCCTCCTAATGCTCGTAGCTGATGCTCTATAATTATTCTATCAATAAAAACAGCCAGGATCTTGCTCTCAGCAGCATCCTGCCTTATGCAGCCTGCTCCACGCCTCCAGTGTCTTTGTCAATGTGGCGATGCAACACCGGAGGGCAGGGACCATTTGTCTCCTCTCGGGGGCTAGCCCAGTGCCTGATTAATGGCTGATGCTCAGCAAAGATCTGTTGATCGCCTGTTACCAGGATGACAACTAGACGGGGTGCTACTGAATGAGTCATGGAAGAGAACTTTAGTTTTATACCTACCTCCCCCTCCCCCTACACTCACTCTGCCCACCTTAATTTTTCTCAAAACCCTCTCTGTTTCTGCCTTGGGGACCTAAGAATTGGACCTCAGAGATTTTGGCCTCCTTCATCTGGATGGGTAATTATGAGGCTACGGTTAAAAACGGACTTTTCATTTTGGTCACGAACTGTATCGCAATTACTTCTCAGAAGGAGAAAGGGACGTGGTGTTCTGGGAGCTCAGAGGCTGTTTTGATGTGCGGGGTTCTGCGTGGTAGAAGAGAATTGTCACTGATTATGTGTTCTGTTTTGCTTTCTGTGTTTCGTGCAGGATAGCTATTTGGGGAAAAGTCAGTCTTTCATGCCATAGACTGGAGATGATTTAAATAAGAACACCAGTAATCCCCATGTATTTTCCTGTCACTCCAGAAGTCAGTCACCATGGGGAAGACCTAGGGAATCATAGCCCTGTGGAAATGGAAAAGCCAGCCCCACTTTTGGCTTCAGGGATCAAGCCCCTTCTTTTTCTGCAATGCTCCCCTTCCGTGTTGTGTCCCTCCCCTCCCCCAGCCAGTTATAGTAAGTTTTTAGGCATTCAGAGATTTCATGCCCCCTCCCTGCCCATCCGCAGCATAACCTGCTCCCTAGAAAATATTTCACATGGTGCTTGCCTCTCTAAACACACTACCTCTGATCTTTCTTACTCCAGTCTAGCTAGTTACAGGATTGATCGCTCTAAAATTAAATCCCCAGGCAGTTAGATCATATACCATCCCCATAATCAAAGGCACTCTCAGTGGGTAATTAACTGTAATAATTTGGTAACTCTTACGCCTGACATGCAACCTCTATATATAACTGACTATGTGTTATTGGGCAATTTCCACAAATCATGTAGTCTATTTTTACAAGTACCAAAGTTTCTATCGGCAGTCCCAAATGATTATACTAGGTAAACTAGTAATGAAAATTTTCCATTTTGACTTCATTGGGAATTATTTGGATATTCTCTATAAATTGTTGTGCAACTCTTGAACATCTATTTTTGTCTTTGTATATGGGACGGATTTCACAATTCTACCTTTAAGAGCTATAGGTTGAAACAATAGCCTGCACTTACCAGCTTCGGCCACTAGGTGGTGCACATATATGTCAGTGAACTTTAGGTTAAATGGACTTGTCACCAGGTTCGATTTAATTTATCACCACGGGAGTGGTCCAGACAGTAGGAGCTGTAGGATTTGAGAGAAGGTGATCCTGTAAGTGGGCATAAAAGAAGGAAATGCTCTCAGGGGAAGTGGAAAGATAGTATTACTGCCTTCAGAGATGGTAGATGCAAAATCAAAAAGGAAAGAAATCCTGGAGAGGAAGGGGCATGCTTACTTTCTTTGCTGATTAAGCCTTACCTGATAGAGTTATTGCAGAGGAAATAAAGAATAGTTGAGTCATTTGAATTAGCCGTCAAACATTACTTCCAGGCCTTTGTGCCAGGCACTGGGGATATAGAGATAAAATGATATAGTCTTGTCCTCACGTAAAGATCTCAAAAGAAAAGCAGAGGAGGAAACAGGCAATTGAGACCCAGCATAATATAAAAGATAGGTTTTACAGGACACATTGGAAGAACAAGGTGAGAAATATTCATTCTGCTCTGAGGAAGGAAGAGAAGGGGGTTAGGTTGGGGAGTTGGCAAGCAGAGACTCCATGGATATTTTGAGCAGTGGAAAAGGACCTCCACAAATCATGCAAAATTAACCAGAGAAGACAGGATGAACTAAGGTACTTGGAAAAGATTGTGTGGATTCTAGAAGTGGCCGGATTTGCTGAATGAGGGCTACTGTATGTCATGGAGTGAGTAACATGTTCCTGGCCCTTAAGACACTCCTCAACTGGTGGACTAGACACCTATGCACTGAAAATTTCCATGTGAGAGGTGGCTTCCTTATAAATTCAGTCATCTGAGCCCCCAGTACACTGGTTAGAGGCATTCTGAAGAAACTATATGTAGCAAAGGTAGTCCACAAGCACATACATGCTTGCATTTGACTGAATCACAGAAGGTATTTCATGCTCACTCATCTTAGAGGAGTCAAGTTTGAGGCCAGAAGCATAGGCAGTTATCAGAGTCACATGGAGGATCCAGGACATGAGCCTGGGTCTATCTGCTTCCTGTCAGATTTTCTTCCCTTTTTTTGCACTAGAGTCTGGACACAGAGTTACCATATAGAGATAGCTCTTAATGAGCAAAGAGACACCTTTCATGTAAATTTTCTTCAACTGTGAACATCACAAAATGCAGCTTGTGGAAAACAGAAAGATACTGGATTGTTAACTGGTGCATGAGGAAAGAAACAAGCCGCACAAGTGGGTGTTGGAAAAAGCAGCTTGAGCCAGTTGTAATACTGGCCTGGTTCTATTTGGTGAGGTGCTCTGGCTCCAGCATTCCTTATAGGCCACACCTGTGGGTGTATGGTACATTTCAGTGACAAAATGTATGTTCACAATGTAGGTCAATGACATCTTAGAGCTGCATTGTTTGATTGAAAATGTCAACTGGAAAGAGTTATAAGTTGGCAGGAAAACAGGGGTGTGTGTTTGAGAAGGCCCTGAAAGAATACAAGCTTGCATTTAGACACATGAGAAGACAATGAGCAAAGGGTAGAATGTTGCACTGGGACAGATCAAAGTTCACTAGAAGAGAGCGAAGACAAAAGTGAGGAGATTTAAGACCACAACTTCTTTGGAAAGGACAAAGGAACTGGGAATATTTATCCTGGTGAGAAGATAGCATAGACCTTCATCTGAAGGTTGAGGCAGGCAGAAACAGTGATAACTTGCTGTCTGGAAATAGACTTTCTTTATGGTCCTAAGAAGTCACCCTCCTCTCAGGGGCTTATTTTCCCTAAATGTAGATTTGACTGTAAGATCCCTCAAGCCCCCTGAGCTCTGACCATCTGTGCAAAGACAAACAAAAAGGCTGCTCATTCTCCTAGTCTCTAGGGTGGAAGGCTTTTCTGTGGCTTTCTGTAGAATTGTGAGTGAGCCTGCTCTGTGTGTTTGAACATCCCCTTTGCATGTGAACCCCGGCCTGCTAATCATTAGTTTGGTTCAGTCTCAAATCAATGTTTTCACAATGTGTTTTCTTTTACAGCAACAGCGGCAGCTTGACCTCCTGACAATAACCAGCCCAGGTGAGTAGGTGTGGCCATTCTGCTTGGCTTTTTCCCTTATTTCCCAGAGTGTTGCCTGGTTACCTATCCTTGCGATTCCTACCTTCCTCCTTTGACTCCCTGAATGAACAGCAAAACTCCTGTGCCATGAATGACATTTCTGCGCCCATCCTTTGCCCCACAAGCAGTTTCTTTTCTCCCTCCCAGCTTTTATTCTGGGCATAAAAAGCATCCTCAAACTCTGCAGATGGCAGGGCTGATGCTCTTTAAGTTGCTGCGTACTCGAGAGCAAAGTTCTCCCATATCACCAAAGGACTCATGTATCGAGGAAATGTTCTCTCGTCTCCTGAGAAATAATTTTTAAAATCTTGGAGAGGGGAGCTGGAGTGAAGGGAGATGGCATGGAATGTAGGGAAGTTGACTCCTGGTCATGAAAAATGGCTAGGTTTTGTCTGCTGTGCTGAGGGTCAGGATAACTCTTGCCTCTCACCTTCAGGGAAGGTCAAGTCCCCCAACAAAGCTGTGCCCATGGGATTAAAAGGTCCTTTTTTCCCCTTAGCTCTGGCATCTTACCTAGAGAGAGATTGAACTGTTTACTTTTGCTGGAAAGATATTTTGTATTGGTTTGAAAACTTTAGGAAAAACTTACCAACAGAAGATGTTATTCTTTCTTGGGAGCCAAGGGCTCAGTGGTGCCAACAGGGTTATCAAGCATTCAAGACTGGATATGTTGATTCATCTTTATCCATTGGTGACATTAAAAATATTTAGTATCTTGATGACTCTCTACTGTGCTTGACATTAATATGTTGGTTACTGGGTGGTGGGGAGATGGAGCCTGGGAGAGGAACTAGTGTAATAGAGTGTTCATGTGGCAGGGTTGAGGGGCTCTCAGTGTGGCTAATTACCAATAAATGTGGTATTTCAGTGTTTTAGTAACCAAATACGGATGTACCATGTCATCCCTGAATTTCCCCAAGCTTATTTTTATATCCAGGGATTAATTTACTCACAAGGAGATTGAGAAACTGCTCTCTGCAGGCACTATCCTAACATTGACAGGTTATTTGGTCTGTGTAACAGGTAAAACACAGCGACTACATATTTAAGTTGGATACACCCCATTCAGTGACGTTACTGTATTTCCACCCAGTGAAGCTCATTGAACTTGGGACTTTAGAAGAACAAAGATGAACTAGTTTGAAGAATGTTTAATCTACTCCATAATATAATATGTGTAGAATAGTCTCAGAATGATGTTTACAGTGTGATATCACTTACAAGAAATTATCAAATAAAAGCAATTATATTTTAGAGAGATATGGAGAAACAATAAGTTTATTACAATAGTTACATATCAGGCAAAGAGAGAGAGATATAATCAGCATAAAAGCTGGGAGGGAGAAAAGAATGAGCCATATTTAGCATATGTATATATGATTGACATATACAGAAATTCCAAACCATGGGCTGACATGACTGAAGTGGCTCACCTATGTGACCTGCCAGTCCCTCTCTACCAAAGTGCTGGTGAGGGCTTATATTTATCCTCTTTGGTTGCTTTCCTTTGTACTTGTGTCCTATTCTACTCCATCTTTACTAACTCAGATGCTTCCACATTCCATTCTCATCTGATCTCACACCCTGATATGATGCTGAAGTAGGAATTGGAGAGCTTATTGATCAGTCTTTTGTTGCTTTACACAGAAACTTGTAGACTCTGTTAACTGAATTTCTTTTTGCTAGTCCTTTCCATTCCTCATTGCTACTGCATCAAATCGAGTAGAGTAATTGTGATTTTCAGTCACAGTGGGCTCCTTTGGGCCAGCTATGGAATTGTAAAATGCCAGAGCTTGGAATGTTTCATTATCTTCCCTAGTTTTAGATAAAAAAAAAAAAGATATCTTCTTGATCAGAGCTTCTGAAAGTTGTGTTGTGGCACACTGGTAAAATTTGTATGTAGACTACACTTGTGTGATGTTGGGAGATACACTCTTGTGAGATTGTTGATCCACTCAACTCTTAGAGCTACAGGTAGGACCCGGGATAATGAGTCCAAGGTGGACCACTCCAGTGTGCCAAACAAATATCCATGTGTGCCATCACCTGGGAAGGTTAGGAAGCACCATCAGACTGTGTATTATCTGAACAAGTCTTTCCAAAGGCGTTTTCCTCTGTCACTAACTCTCTCACTTTCAAAGTCAGTCTCATTCCCCATCCCACTGGAAGCTGCAGCAGCCAGAAATGGGTTTTTGACCTCTTTTAGGCTGCCAATGGGAGTTTGTCTGCCCTCCTCACCAGATCATCTTCAGCACAAAACTGCATTCTGAGACCAGCATTCCATGCAGACTTCAGAAATGGTAGTTGGGAAACTGTATCTCCTTTAAATTCTTATTTTGTTTATTGTGAATAATTTTTAATGTAGAGAAAGAGTAGAGATACAATGAAAAACCATTTACTTCCCCCTGAAACATGGACTTTATACCAATATCGGTGCCACAGAATTACCTATTCAAGAACATTTGTAGATCTAGTTGGGATTTTTCTTTACTCCCCTCTTATTATATCCCTCTCACTTTGCCTGATATGTAACCACTGTAATAAACTTATTGTTTCTCCATATCTATCTAAAATATAATTGCTTTTATTCGACAATTTCTTATAAGTGATAGCACACTATAAATATCATTCTGAGACTATTTTCCACATATTATATTTTGGAGATCATACATGCGTCACATGAAGCTCTGGTTCATTCATTTTAACTGTTATAATATTCTGCATATGATTAGATCACTATGCATTTATTGATCATAATTAAGTTTTTCCATTTTAATGCAATTGCAAATAATGCCACTAACTATATTTTTGTACATATCTCCTCATACATAAGTATGAACATTTCTTTATAGTGTCTAGCAAGGAGTCAAGAATATAGGCATCTTCAGATGTACTACATAATCATCAGTTGTTTAATAAAGTAGTTGGACAACTTTACATTTCCAACAGGAAATAATAAGAGTTTCCATTTCCCCAAAACCTGTTACAATTTCTGAATGCTAGGAATTGTCAAACTCAGTAATTTTTTTAGTTATCATGACAAACTTGAAATGGTATCCCATTTTTTTTTTATAATGTTGCTTTGTTGACTGATGGGTTGAGTATCTCTTCATATGTTTATTCAACACTTTGGTTTCTTCTGTGAATTGATTTTTCACATCTTTTGTCCATTTTCTACTAGCTGGTTTCTTATTCATAATTATTTATTATTCTGAATATCAGTACTTTGTCATTTTTATTCATTGCAAATATCATCTCCCAGATTGTAACGTGTTTATTTATGACATAGACTGATGAAAAAAAAATTAACACTTGAATGTAGTTGCATTTATCACTTTCTTGCCTTAAGAGCTTAGCTTTTGTGACTTATTTGGGAAATCCTCTCATACCTGATATCACATTCTGCTGTATATACTTCTAAGGATTGTCAAGTTTTGTGTCACACTGGGGATTTATCTCATTTAGGGCTAATTTTTGTATATGAGTTAGAGGTTTAATTATTTTGTGTTATATCAGCACCATATAACAATTAGTCCATCCTTTCTCCTACTTCTTAGCAATTACACATCTATAATGTATCAATTTTATATATACAAAATGTTTCCATGCTTTTCATACTATTTTGTTGGTCTACCATTCTTATTCTAACTCTACACTATCTTGTTTATAATAACTTAATTTTAATATTGTTTTTGTAATTGGTAAGGAGATAGCACCATCTTCTCCCTTCCCCTTTATAGTTATCTTTGATTGTAGTACAATCAAATAATCCCTGTACTGTGGCAAGTGAATTTAAGCTATTTATATTTATTGTGATTACTAATATATTTGGAGATTCTACCATCATTTATATTTTATGTTTATAATTTATTTTCTTTTGTTTTCCTTTTGCCCTATTTTTTTAGATTATCTGTTATAGATCTCATGCTTTTTAAACACATTCTGCAGATTTGGATGCTATGTTTTATTTCCAACCTTCACTGGTTACTTTGTGAATATATTCTTAACCATTCTTAACCAAGCTCTAGTTATTCAGAATTTCTATCAAACTTGCAGTCATAGTTATAGCTTATTTTAACCACCTATTGAACACTAACCTGTCACCACCTAGTCATTATTGTGTAGACTCTTAAGTTAAAATTTTGCAAAAAAAAAAAGGAAAAACAATATTATTATGGGATAATTGACTTCTACATTGTTTATGAATCTTTGTGTTCTAATGTTTATTATATATCAAGTATTTCCTATGCTTCCTTAGTAAAGTGAATCCATTAGCTATTTTAAAATGCATGGGCAACCCTTTAAACCTATGTGTATCCTTAAATTGATGCCTCTTTGGGATGATAGTTTGGCTAGGCATAAATTCTAGTTTGTGGAGAACATTCCAGTTTACCTTGGGACTTTTTTCATTATTTTCTAACATTCATAATTGCTAATTCCATTATTTGTTTTTGGTAATATTTCTTGGATATGTTTCAAGATTGTTTTATTAATCTTAATGTTCTGCTTTTTCATTTTGATGTGTCTAGGTGTTAATTAATCTCTATTTACCCTGCTTGGTACTCTGAGTATACTTTCCACATGAGGATGTGCATCTTTTTTTTAATTCTGAGAAATTATTGGCAAATTATCTCTACAAATATTGCTCTTACTCAGTCCCTTTATTTCTCTTATTCTATAATTTCTAATAGATAAATATTGGATTCTCTCAAGTGGTACTCCATGACCCTTAAATGATTTTTTTCTTTTTTGCCCAGTTTTCTATCTTCTCCAATATTTCAATAACCATATATTTTTAGTTTCCAAGATTTCTAATTTAATGTCCACCTGTTTTTATTTCTGCCTATTCTGTTTTATAATTTCTTATTCTGTTTTAATATCTTCATTTGTTTCTTTGAACATCCTCAACTTCAATATAATTATTTATGATCTTTGGCTTGTCTATAAAATAAGTTTCACCT